AAAAATTTAAATTTCAAAAATCAACTATTAGTGTATTAATGATAGAAATTATATTAGAAGTGAAGTTTGATGTATTTTATAGTTAGCTTGTTGGTTTTATAGTATTTTGTAAGGGAATCATAGGGTAAATTGTGTCTGAACTTTGAATGATTTTTGTTTTCTTAAATGGTGCAAAGTAGTTTTCTAAAATGGATCTTAAGAGCGATTGGTTAGCAAGTGTTTAGTTTTAAATACCACTGACGGCTCTACGAAGCCTATAAATGATAGTGCAATTAGAAAATTTAGAAGGAGAGTAGAAGAAGGTTTTATTTGAAGAACTTGTTGAATTTAAAAGGCCTTCGGGTCGAATTATCTCAAGTTAAAACGTTCTTCTTTTTGAAAGGTTGTTTGATCGTCGTCAGTTTTTAAGTCTGTCACTTATTTTATTAATACTTAAAGCTAAGTATTAGTAAGGTTATTCGGTTTATACTTCTCTCCATTTTTTGTAATAAATTGTTGTTCGGTTATTTCCCCAAATTTAGTTTGGTGTCAAAGTTTCGTTAAGTCGACCGGAGTGCAACAAAAGTAGAATCAAAGTTTGTTAAAGTTTTGTAGCTTGATCTCTACACTTTTCATTTCATTACAATCATTTCAACTATCACTGTATAAATAATTATAATTATTCGAATTATCCAAAACCTTTCTTTGCTAAATCGTGTAATTATTGACTATTTTTTAATTAATTTTTGATTAGGCAGTCATATTTCTAAATGTTTCTTGATCTAATCTTATATTAGACGATGAAGATGGTAAAAATTTTTCATTAATTTTGAAATTTTACTCCATTTTAAAGTGCTAATTCTATAAAACTATCAACTTAGATTAATATTAAGAATCTTAATGGTATTGTTCGAAGCCCATGAAGCTATTATTATTAGCTTCTCATGGCCGTAAATAAAGAAGTAAATAAAAGTATCAACGTATTACTACAATCGCATATAACATATTGCTTTAGTTTAACTATGAGAAAAGAATAGAAATCATAAGCTAAGTATATTACTGGCAGCGTAACCATTATATAGAATGCGACGATTACACCTCTTTGGTGTTTAACGTATTAATGAATCTGTAATCGCGCCCATTAATACATTATAACTTCTATATCTGTGATGATGATAGTATATCTTAAAAAAACTTATCAGATTTACAAAAGATACGGTATCCACAGGCTAAAACCACAGAAAATTGATAATGATTTGAATGTTTTCTAAATTATCTGCGTAAGTAAACTACAATTAAAAATTCATCGTACTTATAAGAACATTTACCGCTAGTGAAAGTTAGAAAACTTTTATTATAATCACCCTCAACTTTATATTAACAGAAAGGGACATATGAGCTACAATATTATCTAATTTCTGATAGTAATTGCACTCCGATCATAATTATCAATGAATTCCGAAGCTATTTTGTATTTGTATCGTATTAGATCAAGTATGCATAGTAGAACACAAAAAGGAATGGATAGTCATACCATGCTATGCCCACAGGCGAGAGTATCACTAGCACTAAACATACAGTGCATTTTAATGATTGGTAATTAAAGTAATTTATTCATTTCAATTTCTTCACAAGTAGATATTACGCTATTCTTGCTTACATATAGTATTGTGAATTAAGACAATGAATTAGACACCTTAATTACATGTTTTCTAATGAATTAGCTCATGTTATAAAAATCAAAAGGTAGATCAATCTTCCCTTGAATTTCATTCCTAGAAAACATAATGTATATTTCATTAGTAGTAATTAACGTTTAGTCATTGCTTACTGTCTGGTAACCCCAAAATTATAATTTTTACCAAAATTCTTCTTGAATATAATAGAAGCATTTTGGTTTCTTGAATGAATTAAATTCGGTGGCCAGAACTAGTGAATAAGCTCCAACTTCTGTGATTTCAATTGGGTAGTGCATGTAGGTAGATGAGAGGAGAAAACAAAATAAAATGAAAATTAACATGGACTAGTAGCCATACTGTACAGTATGCAAAGTAGACTCGACAAATCTCATGCCCATGTTGTAGCACATAATTTTAATTGAATAAGGTTTAACTGAATTTTTTACCTTCGAAATATATCCAGTCACCAGCATTAAGCTAAATTTATAATTTGGAATTAAAAATAAAAATCAATAATATTAAATTGGTCCAAATACTCTTGTAATATTCTCTTTCAAGCTTGATCTAGAAGCATTATTTTATGTGGAATATAAATCTATTTTTATCATCAAAGATTTAAGCACCTTTGGCAAGGAACATTCATTTAACAGAAGATCTAAAGAATCACACGTTTGACCAAATAAAACTGCATTCGTTGTACCGTCCGTATTCTTCTTGACCGGCTTCAAAATGATCAGGGTAGGATCAAGAGTCATGAAGTAAATACTGCCATATACGCTCTCATTAACGTAATACAACACTTTCTAAAGATATAAAAAGACATTTAATGTCGCAATTATTACAAAATAAGTATAAAATGATCATCTGAACATGGATAAAAAATGTTAATTTTAGCAAGCAATCATAAATTTCCTTTGACATAAAGATTACCTCGATATCGCTTGTATTTTCATACAGATGAGCATTTTCTATTTCGAGCAAGTTTAGAAATTATATTTGATTTAATTGTATGATAATTAATATATCAAATAGCACAAGTATCCATTTCATTTATTGTTGGAAGCTGTGAGTTCATACCATGCTCCAAGTCAAATGGATCATGTTTCCCTTCGAACAACTCTTTGC